TGCCTCCAACTGCGCGGCGGCCTGGTCCGTGGCGGCAACAACAACAACAGCAACAGCAACAGCAACAGCAACAGCAACAGCAACAGCAACAACAACCACAACGGCAACAACGGCAACAACAGCAACATTAACAAGAACAAGAACACAAACAAGAACAATAACAAGAGGAAGAAGAAGAAGAGCAACAACAAGAACAGGAAAAGAACAAGCAGTAGGTGGCGGCATCTGCAGCAGCAGCAGCAGCAGCAGCAGCACAAAAAAAAAACATGAACGGAAGCAGAAGCAGAAGAAGCAGCAGAAGTGACAGTGGTAGGCGCAGCGTTGGTACCAGGTAGTACCAGGGGAAGCCGTGTCAGCAGCAGGAGCCCCGCATCGTCAGCGTTGTCGTGGTCGTCGTCGTTGCGGTGAGCGTCGTGGGCGTCGACGTCTCCATCCCTCCAGCCCTCTGAGGCCCTGCAGGCCTCCAGCCCTTCCAACCCTCTGGTACTTCGCACCTCTTGGTTCTCCACGAAGATGAGGAGAAGGTTCCCCATCACCAAAGCACCCATCGACATGAACACGGCCAACAGGACCATGGACCAGCCTCATCTACACTGAGCTGCTTCAGACAGCGCAAAGTCATGCTGACCATGTGGCTTTCTGTACCAAAGCTTGGTTTGAGGATCCTGGAGTGTAGAACTTGCGGTTCCTCCACTACCAAACTGCTGCCGGTCACTGCGCATCCTGTCGAAAACCTCAATCCCCAACATGTCCATATATGCTCAGAGTACGAGCCTGCCAAGATGAAAGACACTCAACAGTGCAACCCCTCTTGCTTTAGCTACGATTACAGTAAGGCATCTGGAGTCGATGGTTTTGACAACCGTTGGCATCACATAAGCATTGTCGGACAAGAACGATTGGGACAGGTAGCAGAGCGAAGGCAAAAAGCAGTGGCAAGCCTGCACCAGTAAGCGCAAGCCTTTGACGAACCTGGTTCGGGGTTGAGGGGTTCAGGCGACTGACAATTTGAAGGGCTTGCCTAGGCCGTCGCAGGATCGGTGGAATGCTCTATGAGTGCAGAGCTCTGCTTCTTATTGAATTCTATTTCCAAGCTTCCAGTCCCTTTGTCGACTTGCCCAGGACGCTTCATGACTTTTTGAGGCCTGCCTAAGTTAAAGTTAAAGCTGCAGATAAAGATTCCCTGAGGACTTCAAGAGATGGCTCCGGGTCTCGGTTCTAGCCTTTCCTACACGATGCATCGCTTGAGGGCCAGGTGTGAGGGAGGGGTGTCGACATGCTTTGAGATGTGCATCCCGTTTGAAATGCAGCGTAGAGTGAACATCTGTCGTCCAGCGCCGCAGCACCATCTTTGAAATCATGCCTATGCCCTTGTAGATTCAGCGCCCTCTGCAGGTGACCTTGCGGAAGACCCTCCGATGAAATTGCTTCCCACCAATGTTTGACCGGTTCCTCTCCCCCACAACCCCATGGTATTCCCCCTCCGCTGCCCCCGCTTATCCTGTGTGGTCCTCACATATATCCAAACATGAGCGCAGGCCTCCCTCTGGCCCTGACAGTGCTGAAAGATTGCACATCGCTAGACTCGAATCCACAAGACTGACACTCAAAGACACAATTCGCAGAGTCCCGGCCTGAATGTTCGCATTAAACGAACGGCGCGGACGCACTTTAACGTCCTGATCCAAAGACTTGTGGCATCAAGCTGCAGAAAGCTTCGGGGTCGCATCGCAATTTTAGAAGCCTCCTGTGACTTGGAGTGGGTCATGCCTATCCCCTGCCCCAATCGCTTCCCAATCGCAAATATGCCGGCTGGCATTCGGCATGCTCGATAGCTTCTATTCCAATCCTTGCCCCGCCGGGTCTGGCTCCTAGTGGCTGGGCTTTCCAAGTTGCAAAGTTCCGGGGTCGAAGGCTCGGGGCTGATACTTTCAACCTTGGGAGTGTGAAGCTGTCCGCTGTCCCGTCCTGACAATCCGCAGGGCACTGGCATTGGGAGTGCTGGAATTGGCCGGAGTCATGACCAATATATCGATAAACCTTGGGAAACTGCTGCATGACCACGTGAACTTCGCGTGCGCAGATCACAGGGCACTGAGAGTTCACTGACCATGTCGACACGTCTGGCAGAAACGAAAACTTCGAAAACCTCGCCGACAACGCCGTGGCCTTCCCTGTGCTAAGCTTGGACCTGCAACGAACTGCAAATCGTTCGACAAACAAACCCCAGCAGAACATGGTGCGGAGTACTAGCAGTGGCAGTAGACGCAGCAGCAATTGCAGTAGCAGCGGCAGCAGCAGCAGTAGCAGTAGCGGCGGCAGTGGGTGTTGCAAAAGCGTGGCGTTGATCCTCACTGCTTCAGTTGGAAGGGTGAGGAACTAGGGTTTCTGATATGCGCGTACATTGATCATCGTTTATCAACACTTAGCAATGAAAACCCGAGAGTGGACAAGACTCTTGATCAAGCACCACATAAGCTTGCACCGAAGTGGCCCGACGACCACCAGAACTGCGTCGAAGAGGTTTGCATAGTCTGTATGCCTTGGCAGTTGCGGCTCCTACGATCTAGAGATGCCCAAAGCCAACGCCCAGTCCTAGGCCTTCGCCTCATTCATACCATCTGGATTTTTTCCCTGTCGCTCTATGTTGTCGATTCTGTCAAAGCCAGTTGAAGGTACATGAAAGTGTACACGTTCCGCCTTAAAGACCAAGTGATTCGTGGTGAGCTCACGGACATAATTACACAGTCTTTATTGCTGGAAGGGAGCACGAGGCTGCGCCCGAAAGGCGATTCACGATGCGAGTCCAAGAAACTGATGCCGATCCAGTCGATGGTTGAGTCTAAACTATTACATCGTTTATATTGTACTATACTATACTGTAGTTTACTACATTATACGGTAATATTATACTCTATGCAATTCTCAGCGCCAAGTCAGATTGTTTCCGGTGGGCACCCGACACACCGACTTTTTCAGGAACCGGCCCAGGGCCTAGGGCCCACGACGACACCATGAGACTTTTCATGGGGTTTGGGGTTTCGGCTCACTCCAGGCGAGGATATGGTTCGAGGTCTGCAATGCGGCGAAACCATCTCCAAAGAAGGACCCACACAAAACACAACCCAACAAAAGAACCTCTAAGGGGGAAAGGGTCTTCCTTCGTGTCAAAATCGAGTGTGCACCAACTAGACTAGGTCTGGCTTTCTCCACTCCCACAGCTGCGCTTCAAAGACTGCCCCAGGGACGGAATCAGGTAACCTCAGACCCCATAAGAGCTCATGGTTTTTCCCCCCTAGACGGCAAGAGCTTTTTTTTCCCTCTCGCAAGGGTTTAGGGTTTGGGCTCTCTTATGGAATTCCGTCGAAATCCGTCAAGGACTCAATGCAGTTCCTGACAGCCAAGCAAGTCGCCAATGTGGCCACTCAGCCAGAACTCGAGTGAGAAGCTCCTGCTACAGGCGGTCGCGTAGTTGCATCTGTACTCCTAGATAGCCGCTCAATGCAGCAGGCGCCCTTGGCTAGACTCGGAAATCGTAGTTTGGTCGGCTTTGACAGTGACGTGTCACACTCGAGCTCACGGCACGTGCGAGTTCGGCCATCTCCCGACCCCATGCCACTTGCTGCAAAGTCGGTGGAAGTCTGCATCTCTTGATACATGCTGAAGGCAGACAGGCCAAAGGCTTCACAACGACCGGTCCAGAAGGAAGATGGTCATAAACACGACATCTGCGGTCTCGAAAATGGGCAGCCTCGGGACAGCGTCTCGCGGCCTGTCAGCTCTGAGGCTCGAAAATAACCCGCAAACCTCCGAAAGCTTTTTGCTGGAGCAGCCACCATCCTTTCAAGAGCACTGGGTCCACATCTACCTGGGTGCCATTGGCCAGGTGCAGGGAGGGTACCAAAGGTGCCAGGAATATGCGCAAAGCATCGTCCACACCTAGCTCCATCGCACAGTTGAAATCCTTCACAGGGTGAGAGTTTGCCTGCAACATCCTTAGGACTCCAGGCCGCAAAAGCCCCATGCCCTTCAGTTTCCGTGACTGACTGGCGAGGCAGCCACCAGCTCACACTGCCGAGTAAGGCTCACAACTCTTACATCAAATCGGGTTGCTCCCAAACCCACAAGCACATCCTGACGGCCCTCAAGCCAACCACCAAAAACCTTCAAGCCCTACTCTAAACTGACCCTAAACCACACCAAACAGTTTTAGGCGTTTTGTCACGGACCAAAGAACAACAAGGGCAGCCGCAAGCATCACGAACAATGAATCTGCCCACAAGCCCTAGCGCGCAAAGGGGGCCATGGTAATTGAAGTAAGGAGGCCAGATAGCCAGCGTTGGCTCCAATAACTTGGCCTTCTACCTGGCAGCTGACTTCTCAGCGCAGCGCTGTGGAAGGTTAGGCAGCTTCTGTCAACAGGAGCAGCAACGGCTTGAACATGGCTACTGCGAGGTCCAGCAGAAGTGCTTTTTGGCGCTTGGTAATGCATCGAGATGTCAGCTCATCAAACCACAATACTTTGCCTACCCTGCATGAATTTAGTTGTCCGACAGTGCCGACATTCACATCAGCAGACCGAATCAGGTCACATGCACAGCTGATGCTCAACCGGAACTTCCTACATCACACTGAGCGCTGCCTCCAGCTCCAGAAGGAGCAGCAAGCAGCTGAAAATGACCAACGCACCGGCGACGAAGTCAAGAGTGCGACGAACTCTTTCCCAGGTCTTGGGCGAAGACAAGGGGAAGTGTGGAATTCCGGGGCTTAGCTTCAGCTTGAAATCTCATAGGACGATGACCTTTCAGCTAACAGGTATTGGGTCGTCGTCTGCTGGGAGTTTGGGGTCCGGTGGTAAGCCCAAGGCTTCCTCAGAGTGCCTATGGGGAGCGCTGGCTGAGTCGTCCTGGAGCGGAGTCTTGGGAGCCGGCCGGTTGACGTGAAAGCAACTTATGAGGATCTCTTAAAGCAATGAACCGTCGCACCGACAATTTGAAAGGTCATCTGCAGGATCCCTTGGATCTTCTGGGAATCTGGACTTTGCACGGTACTATGCCGGGCTACAGCTGGTTACCACTGACCTGGGGAGTCTCACGCCCATAGGCCCAGAATCCACAAATTCCTGCAAGAAGGAATTCGAACTTCTCGGCATTGCAAAGCGGACCCAATCCATCCCGATCCCCAACTAAAGCCCTAACGCAGCTACCCAAGTGCCCAAGTGGCCAGAGTTTTGCTGATGGCTTCCTGCAAATGGAAGTCCACGGCTTTGACTTTGTCGAAAGACTTCATGGGGCCTTCATGGGGGGGCTCTGGCGGAACTTTCACATAGGACAGCTGGACATGGACGAAGTGCCTTGAAGCTAAGCATTAAAGTGCTCTGTCAAAGCCGGTGCACGAACCGCAACCAAGATTCTGAAACCCAAGCTAGGAGTTCCGAACCACCACTGCGTTCCATTGAATCACACAGATCAGAAAGGCCTAAGCACGATAGCAATTACATGCTTGTCATCACCCTGTAACTCCCAACATGAAGAAGCAGCAGACTTGAAACGCTGACTGTCGCCGTGCATTATTC